TGCTGGGATGACAAGTATACCACCATATCCCACTTTTTATATGGGTCCTGAAGACTGAACTCAGGTCTTCATGCTTGCAAGGTAAGCTCTTTCCAGACTGAGGCATCACCTCAGCACTAATTAATTATTATTAAAGTTCCAGATCACCCGCCTAAAATGAATCTGTTTATCTGCCTTCCCAGAAATAAGGATTAAGAGAAATAGCCCAGTTCCCCAAATAGGCCAATTTCCGTTGGTGAGATAATGAAGTTCTCTCCTCCTTAATCTTTTCACAGAAACGGGAACCTAAAGTAACCTGATGTTAAATGAGTGTCCAGTATTTTTCTACTGCCTGTCTCCCTGTCCCCGCCTTACAAGGAGAAAAAGCTTTGAAATGACCAGTCTTTTTTTGTTTGTTTGTTTCCTGTTTCTGTTTTCCTCAAGTCCCTTTCTGACCATAAAACCAGCCTCCGTTGCTCAGTTTAACTGGAATGAGAGTCCCATTTTATGGAATGAGTGTTTTGTTTTATGGAACAAGTGTCCTGTTTATGGAATGTGTGTTTTAGTTTATAGAAGAAACTGTTGCCCAAATCTAGAAAGACAAATAAAACTAAGTCCATTAAACTAAATGTGCTTTTGTGTCTGAACAGAGATGACACTGTAAAGAAAGAGAGGGTATGGGGTGGGAATGGGGGGAGTGGAGGGAGCTGGTTTAGATGTGGTGGTCAACTTCTCTAGTAAGGTAGAACCTGAACTCAGAAAGGTGAGTAATGTTTAGATGTCAATAGCTTTTCTTTTCTTTCCTTCCTTCCTTCCTTCTTTTCTTTTTTATATTTTACTTATTTTATATTTATATTTTATTTTATATTTTATCGGCACAGGTCAAAGGACACCTTATAGGAATCAATTCTCTCTTTCTACCATGTGGACCCCAGGGATTAAATTCAGGCCATCAGACTTTACAGCAAGTGCCTTAACCTATTGAGCCATCTCACCATATTCTCCCTCCCTCCTTCCCTCCCTCCTTCCCTCCCTCCTTCCCTCCCTCCCTCTCTTTCTTCCTTTCTTTTTGTCTTTCTTTTTGTGTATGCAGTGTGTGGTTGCAAATGGGGGGTATGTGTGCAAGTGCGTGTATGTGTGTAGTCTGTATACTATGTAGTATGTACAGTGTGTAGTGTGTATATGTGAGCATATGTGTGTGCATGCACAGTGTGTGTAGTATGTAACATGTAGCATGCAATGTATGTATGTGAGCATGTGTATCCTTGTGTGTGTAGCATATGTGTATGTGATCATGTGTGTGTGAGCATGTGTGTGTGAGCATGTGTGTGTGTGCGTGCGCACAGTGCATGCTTGTGTGTATAGGAGTGTAATACAAAGGACAACCTTGGCAATTCTTCAGGTGCTGCCCACCTTTTCTTTTGAGACAGGATCTCTCACTGACCTGGAACTCAGTGAACAGTCTATGTTGACTGTCCAGGATCCACTTGTCTCTGCCTCCCCAGCGTGGGATTACAAATCTGTCCAGTGCCCAGCTCATTTTACATGGGTTCTGAGGATCAAACTCGGGTACTTGTGCTTGCAAGGGAAGATTTGCCCTGCTGAGCTATCTTCCCAGGCATCTGTTTCTTTTCCTCTGTGGTGCTGGTAATCAAACCTTGGGCCTTGTAACATGTGTGCCCATGGTAGGCAAGCACTCTCCCACTGAGCTGTTCAGATGTGATACCTTAAGAAAGAATGTTCTGGGCAGAAGAAGCAGCATGTACAAAGGCCCAGCCATGAGAGACCACTTGTTGACTAACAAACCTAGTGCTTAGTGATTCACCAATCAGCATCAGTTCACTTAGGGATTCTAAGGTACTGTACCTGGGTCTTTCTTATCAAACAAGAATGGTGGGCTAGAGGGTTTTCCCCTCTTTTACACTATGCTTCTTTCCCTGTGCCTGACCAGGCCTATGACTAGGGGCCAGGGAGGGGTGGGGGTTCAGCCTGTCACACCATCTGGAGAAAATGTAGAGAATACCAAGGAATTAGGAGGTTCTATGTTGTCCATGACAATTGTCTTTGGTTCTAACAGTAGGAGCCCCATCTGTCATCCCACCTCACCTCTGACCCTGCCATGGCCCCCATTGTACTGACTGCTGTGACTAGAGTTGCTAGGGTCAGAGCCTGGCAGCCCTGACAAGCCAAGCTCAGCCACACGTTCTCAATAGGCCAACTGAAGAGACAAGTAATGGTGAAAAGCAGAAAGAGATTTGTTCACTACAGCCACACTGGAAAGAGGAACAAATAAAGAGGTGTACTGACCCCCCACCCCCAAGGCCGACTTCAGAGTGCTGACATGAGGTTTAGGTTTAAAAAGAGGTATGCATAGCTAGGCAGTCCTGGACAAGGTGTGGGCCACCCATCACTGACCCATCATTGTCTGGACTCCAGTCTCTCCTGCAAGGTATCTGACAAGTTGTCAGAACTGTGTGACAATCTCTTCCCGGTAGAGAAGTAAATTCCCCCTTTTTCTGGCACAAGGCCTCAGCCTTTTCCTTCTCCCAGCATGGGATTCCCGGGGAAATTCCAATCCCTCTGAGGAGTCCATTTTCGCAGAGGTTTGGTGGCCACTCTTTAGAATATTTTTACTCCTGTCAGGACACTGTCTGCCAGGGCAGTTTCACTGGGAAAGGGGTACACTAAAGGTGGGCTGTGGGTGACTACAGCCAAGGCTGTCAGGACCTGGGCACAAGTCCTGCCCAGACTCCAGTCCACGTTCTGGGCTCCTTTTGGGACAGTCACTTCCTCATTATCCCTAGGTCATTTCTGCTTCTTGGGAACTTCTTGCTGACAAGACATGCTGCCGTGCATTCTACTGATTCAAGACTTTTCTATTCTTACAAATAAGATGTAATAGGCACCCTACCCATTACATGCCCAGCCCTTTTGGAGACTCACAAAACACGAGATATTATGAAACTTGACAACTCCTTTAACTCCTTCTCTTTTTTTCTTTCTGGGATAAGAAAGATGTAGCCCAATCTAGCCTTGAACTCACTATGTAGTCAAGGGTGACTGAACTTTTTAAAAAGATTTTATTTTTTTCTTTTAAAATTATTTGCATGTATATGCATAAAGTAGGGTCTATCTGCATGTGTGTACAGGTGCCCTCGGAGGCCAGAAGAGGGCACTGGATCCCCTGAAACGGGAGTTACAGATGGTTATGAGTTGCACAATATAGGTGCTGGGAACCAAACTCAGGTTCTTACAAGAGCAGTACATATTCTTAACTACTGAATCATCTTGCCAGTCCCAGGATGACTGAACTTCTGATCCAACTGTCACCACCTCCCAAGTACTGGGATTACAGGTATGCAGCATCATACCCTATTTATGTGGTACTGGAAGCCAGGGCTTCATGAATGCTGGGTGATCACTCACTCTACCCACAGAGCCACAGCCCCAATAACAGCTGTAGCTGGTGCTCAGTCCAGGAAGTGGCTAGTGTCTGGTCAGTTGAAGTTCTGCAATTCAGGTCCCTCCCACAGAGCATTCTAGGGCTGCATGAAGGGACCCCCTACAAAGCTAGGTCCTCCTTCACTGTGAGCTCTTCCACTGAAGTCCAGAGTTGCAGAGGAAGAAGCACCTGTTTTCTAGTACCCTTGACTGGGAAGAAAGCAGGCAGCATCATGGAGAAAGGGCCTCTGGGCAGACAAGTCAAGCTGGCTGGACATGACCAGCTGCCCACCACTTTACCCAGTGGATCTCAAAGTCTAAGTCTGTGGCAGTGTCACTACAGGTCTTCCCACAGTCCCATTGGTCAGAAATTCTGGGGAAGGGCCCACAGTGTGTGTTTGAACCAGCCCCCAGAACAGGAAGGCAAGGGGAGGCACAGCAAGGCCTCCACACTCCATCTGCCCCAGACTGGTTCCTGGACTGTCCAAGGGTCTTTCTAGAAGTCATGGAACCATATGAACACAGAGGTGGAAATGCACCCACGACTGGACTGCATCTTCCTGAGTTTTTCCCATGACCCCTTGGGGGTAACCTAAGTGTAGTCTTCTCAATGTTCTTAGGTAAGTTAGAGAGGTGCTGCCTGCCGGCCAGGACAATTTACTCAGTGTACTGTATTGCATTTAGTTTGGATCTCGCTTTTACCTTAAGCAGGATTCCCACCACTACACAAGAGGAAGGAGGTTAGCACTAGGTCAAATTCCTTGCCCTTGGACACTCCCTCAGCCTCCATTCCTTTAGGGTGATAATGTTTTAGCATACTCACCTTTATTTTTTCCTATTTATTTGTGTTGCTGGGAACAACAAAGGAACCCAGGGCCTTGTGCCTACTAGGCCAAACTCTCCACTGAACTACACCCCCAATTCCATTCCCCCCCCCTCCTCCTCCTCCTCCTCCTCCTCCCTAGACTGGATGGCGAGCAAGGCCCTGGGATCCTTCTGTCTCTGTTTCCCCAGTGCTGAGATTACTGGCATGTGCTATGGCACCTGGCTTTTTTTGTCATGTGCTAGAGACCTGAACTCAGGCCCTCAAGCTTGCACAGCAAGCATTTTGCTGACTGAGCTATTTCTCCAGCCTTCCTCCTTTTCTTCCTCTTCCTCCTCCTCCTTCCCCCTCCCCCCCTCCTCCTCCCTCTCCCTCTTTCTGTGATTACAGGGCCTCACTTTGTGGCCCAGGCTGGCCTTCAACTAGAACCAATCCTCCAGCCTCAGATACTCAAATGCTAGGATTACAGGGCTCTGTAACCACACTCAGCCCAATATTTGCGTTTCTAATAGTACCTGAGGGGGTCAGGAGGCAATCTGTCTCATCCTCTTAAGGGGTAAACTAAGGCAAGCGATCGCCCAGTGGGTTCCGTTCCACTCACACTTCACAAGAGCCTTGCAAGCGCTCAGCCCATCACACACAGTATCTCACTTATTAACGAGGCTCCACAATGTTAAACAAACAATTCAAGGTCACATAGGGGGGTGGAGAAGTCAGAAGCCGTCCGGAGCCTCCACCCTCTGCTCTCAACTGCCTCCCCGGGGAGGCTGGGCCCTGCAAGCTTCCAGTGGAACCGAGTCTCTCAGCCCTCAAGGAATCTGCGCACAGGCGAGGACCGCGAGGGGTGACTGGGTTCCCCCTAGCTGGGACCCAGGGCGCTGAGTCAGCGTAACCGGAGCCGGGTGATAGTGAAGCCCCCGCCCCCGGGCCTGCGCCCCGCCCTGGGAGAGGACCAGCCTGGTGGCAGCGGCTCTGCGCAGCAGCGGGCGACAGCTGGGCCAGGCGACAGCGCAGCCGCCCAAGGCGCAGAATGACAGCCATAGGCGCTCAGGTAGCCGACCGGGCGAAGCCAGGGTGCAGCCTACCATGGGGGAGGACAGGGTATCTTCAGGCCCCAAGGGTCGGGACGGGTGTCAACTCCTTGGGGTGCCCAGTGTCCGCTAGGGTCCCCCCTCGGAGGTTTCTCTGGAAGTGATGGATGGGGGGGGGGGTACCCACTACCCAGTGTTGTTCTCAGTGCTGTCTCCCTGGCCTATGATCGCGACCTGAGAACACCTGAGGCTGCCACACGTTTCTGTGGGGTCACCAGTGACCTGTCTGTCAGCTAAGATTCCCTCAGGGGTCCCTGGGATGTTTTTAAGCTGGGCATCTGCGATGGAGGATGGACTTGTAAAGCCAGGCTTGGCTTATGTAATGGGGGGATACCTTGCTCACCAAGCCAGGACTTTCTGGGAACCGGGGCTGCAAAGATCATCTTTCTACCCTAAAACGCGTTTGGGGTGCTAGGTGGAAGTGGGGTCCGGGTGGACTGTCTGTGGACAGGACACCTCCAGGAAATGACTTAGGCAAGAGAGGAGAGAGTCCTCTAAGATCTGCTTCTCCAGGAGCAAGGGAGGTGTTTGTGCTGGCTGAGAATCCCCACATTCCTACCCTCTTCAAAGGGCAGCATGCAAGGCAGATGCCGGCTCCCTTCCTGCTCTCAGAGGCATCTGGGTGACTGGCTGGGCTCTCCTCCAGGCTGTCCACTGTCCAGTCTTGTCCTAAGAAGTACAGAGGACAGCTGACTCTGCCTTAAGTCCTCTGCCTTAAGTCTGCCTGAAGGCCCTGTAACACTGATACAATTAGGTACTGTTAGACCCATTTTAATCATATCATTATTTTTATCATCAATATTATTTGAGAAGGGTCTTTCTTTGTTACACAGGCTCAAGTGGTCCTCCTGCCTCAGCCTCTTGCCCAGCTTTACCCATTTTACAGAAGAGATAACTGAGGCTCAGAAGTAACCTGCCCACAGTGGGTAGCCAAGCAACAGAATCTAGGTAAATACAGGACTTCCTGCCTCCAAATCTGGGTCAGCCCTTTTGTAACAAGAGAAAGACCAGGCACAGGCCACACAAAACCCCTTTTAGCCAGGACCCACTGAAGTGTGGCAGGGAACCTGATGAAGTGACTTTCTTTTCTTTGTTCTGGGGTATGGCATACCCTGGACCATCTTCAGTGAGGAGTCATGGAAGGAAGAGGATAAGAAGCAAGAAGGATGGGACTCCTGTGGAGCTTGAAAAAGTTTACCATCCACTGAAGAGGGAAATTTGGAAACCAGAAATCAGTGTGGTGTGGGAGCTAGATTAGGAGATGTGAAAGCCACAGACAAGATTCCCTTTAATGTGAGAGAAGGAGGAAGAGGAGGAGGAGGGAGAGGAAGGGGGGAGGAGGAAGAGGGAAAGAAAAGAAAGAGGGAGAAATGAAGGAGTGGAGGAGGGGGAGGAGAGGAGGAAGAAGGGGAAGAGGAAGGAGGAAGAGGAGGAGGAAGAGAAAGAAGGGAAAGAGGAGGAGAGGGAGAGGAAGAAGGAAAAGAGAGGCAGGAGAGGGGGAAAGGGAGGAGGAAGGAAAAGAGGGAAGAAGGAGCTAGAAGAGGAGGGAGAAAGGAGGAGGGAGGAGAAGGGGAGGCCAACATAGATGTATCTGTACCGGGCATATTTAAGGGTAGAAATGAGGACCATGAGCCCAATCGCTTACTGCAGTAGAAGAATGTAGGACACACTTGCCCCTACTCACAGAGGAACTTAGTCATCAGTGACAGCATCCCCCAGCAACCTTAGAAATTAGGTACTATTATCCCTTCAGTAGAGAGGCAGAGGGGGGATAAACAACAGCTAAAAAGAAAGGCCTGGTGGCTCATTCTAGCTCTAGAGGCTGAGACACAAATTCACAAGTTCAAGGAAGGCCTGCCTGAGCTACAGAGTGAGTTTAAAGCAAGCCCGAATAATTCTGGGACTCTGTCTCAGAATAAAAGTGGGGAAGGTATGTAATAGATCAGCAGTAGACTAATTGCCTACAATGCATGAGGGCATAGGTTTGATCCCCAGTAGCAGGTTAGGTAAGGCCTGGATCGTGCAAGCAGAGATAGGGCTGAAAGGAACAGGTAGGTTGACTGCTTATTAGGCTGTGGAAGAAATTCCAGCATTTTAGCAGTAGTCAGTGGTAGTGGTCTGATTCAGGTCTGGACAGAGTGAACACTGAATGGCAAAAGATACAGGTTTGGGGAATGAGTGGTGGCCCAGGGTATGTACTTGGGGTCCTGTTGATCCTGGGGTAGGGAGAAGGATGGAACATGGCATTTGAATGGCCTCAGTATCCCAGTGCTTTTGAGGCAACCTTGTTCCACAGGTCAGTGGGAATCACTCAAGGTCACAGATTCAAAGGGCATGCACAGCATTATTTGGCAAGGGAGTGAAGCCCCTGAGATTCAAGGGGTTATCCCAAGGCACAGAGATGAGGCTGGCAGGGCAGGGGCAGACTGCCCATGTCCCCTCTTTTCCTGCCCTTCCACTGAGTAGCTACCACTCAACTGCCCCCGCCCCTGGCCCAGAGGATTCCATGTGCTGGGTCATTGAAAGCTGGTGGAGGTACCAGCAGTATGGGGGGTTGCTGGTGTTATTCTCCACTCTGGAGAATCAAGAGCCACCTGTGGGCTATGTGTGTGTGTGCAAGTATGTGTTTGTGTGTGTGAGTGTGGGTGTGCATACAAAGACCAGAGATCAACCTCACTTCCTTCTCAGGCACTGCCCTCACCTTGATTTTTGAGACAGGGTCTCTCATTGGTCCTATAACTCAATAAATAGCTAGGCTGACCAGAGATCCCTAGGGACCTGCCAGTCTCCCCAGTGCTGGATTACAGGTGCCCATCAGCATAGCCATCTTTTTTCATGTGGTTCTAGGGATGGAACTCGGTTGGGTCTTCCTGCTTGCAAGGCTAGCTAGCATCTTACTTCCCTTTTGGAGAAAGGTCCAAAACTCACCAAGTAGGCTAGCTGACTGGTCAGGGAGCTCCAGAGTGCCACCTGCTCCTGCCTCCCTAGTGCTGGGATTACAAACTATTGCTACCACACCCTGCTTTTTTCCTGAGTTCTCAGGATCAAACTCAGGTTCTAACATTTTCAAGCACTTTTCCCACTGAACCATCTCACCAACCCATACATCTTTCTAGACATGATCCTTTAATCCTTACAGTTCTTCCGGTGTCAGAGAATTTAGACAAAACCTGCTTCAAGGCACCAGATCCTTTGGTCATCTCTTTCTGATCTCCATGAGGTGTCTTAGGGCTTGCAGATTAAAGTCCAGTCTGGTCCTGGGACAGGTGGGGCTGAGGAAGGGACAGGATGTGCTTGTTTTCCAGACAGTGTAAGGCCCAGGGTCAAAAGGTTTCTGGGCTAGCCTGTGTGTCTCGTGACTTGTTCTCTGCATCTGGGGCTGTCCCATCCTGTGACCATATCAGTCTCTAGTGATTTCATAATCTTACCAAGTGCTTTCCTCCGGGGATCACCAGCTTTATTTGACAGATGGGAAAATAAGGGCATGGGCTGGGGATGTAGCTCCTTTGGTAAAGTTCTTGTCTGGTGTACACAAGGCCCTAATTTCCACCCACAGCACCAAATAAATGGAGTGTGATGGTGCTGGCCTGTAATCCCAGCACTCAGGAAGCAGAGGCAGGAGGATCCGAAATTTAACATTATCCGTGACTACATAGTGAGTTCGAAGCCAAACTGGGATACATGAGGCTGGAACAAAGAAAAACAAAGGCAAAGAGGGTAAGAGATGACCAAGGAGAAGTACCTCTTGTTTGTGCTGTAGACACAGAGGCACCACTTTCTAAGTTTCTTTGGGTTCATTTCTTTCTTGTAGATCCTCATATGTGTGTGTGTGTGTGTGTGTGTGTGTGTGTGTGTGTGTGTGTGTGTGTGTGTATGTTTACACTCAGCAGAGAATATGCTTGGAGTCAGAGCACAACCTCGGGTGTCAATCCTTGCCCTTCCATTTTGTTTGAGGCAGACTCTGTTGTTTACCTCTGTGGACTCCAGGCTAGCTGACTCACATGCTTCCTGGGAGTCTTTATCTCATCTCCCATCTTGCAGTAGGTGTGCTGGGATTAAGATACATGCTGCAGCATCTAGCCTTAGATGGGTTCTGGGGATCTCACAGTTGTGCAGCAAGGCTTTACCCACTGGCCATCTCCTCAGCCCATAGATCTCTTTTTTCCCTAAAAAAGCACAGTGTGTATTCCTAGATCCCCTCTTGAGCCTGTAATGGATTTATTGCAGTTGAACAGAGGGAGGGGATGAAGAGTCTGCCAGCTCAGGAAGGCAAGACAGTTTGAGAATCACAGCCCATACTCCACTTGGTGTTCTTTGCAGGATGCAAACACCCTGCAAAGTGGAGATGGCAGGTTCTGGTTCTGGCCTGGTCCTGTGGGTGTCTCTGCGTACCCACCCTCTTTCAGCACCTTGTGCTGTCATTACAAGGACCTCTGGAGGAAGGCTCCATCTGTATTTCTTAGCTGAGTATTTCTACCTCTGTCACCATGGTTTGAGCAGCTCTAGGAAGCATCACAGAATTTAGATGAATGATCTCAGGCAAGTCAACAACCCTGTGCCTGTTGTAGTGCCCTCTTTACACACTCGCCTAGGAGCTTCCAACTCTACACACTTTCAGGTTTAAGAAAAAACTTGGGGGCCTGCAAGATGGCTCAGTAGCACCAAGCCTAATGACCTGAGTTCAATCCCTGAGAATCACATGGTAGAGGGAGACAGTCAACTCCCACAAGTTGTCTTTTGACTTCCACACATGCGCAGTGTGGCAATGTCCTCAGTCCCCTCATTTCCAAGCAGTAGCCATTCTCTGAGAACTGTCTGCTTACCTCCCAAACAGTGATGTAACCTGCTTCCATACACCCTATATACATATATACACAAGCAATTGTAATAAAAAAGTTTTAAAAACATGTTGGATGTTACTTTGGCAGCTATCCTGTGTCCCTGAAGTTGAAACAAGAGGTACCTTTGTGTCTGGGGCACAACAGGCAGCAGACAGCCTTGTGCATGAGTATGTGCCCATCTGAATGTATTCATGTGTGTATGCCTGCACTTGAGGAGGTCCAAGGTCAATGCTGAATATCTACTAATACTTTCCACTTTCATTTTTGAGACAAGGTTTCTTGCTGAACCGGGAACTCACTGATTGGCTGAACTGGCTGGCTAATAAGCTCTAGAAGTCTACCATGCCCCCAGCTCTGGAGTTACAAATAAGCATCACTACCATGTCTGACTTTTTTTTAACTTCTACAAAAACTTTATTGAGAATTTCATACATGCATATAACATAAGGTGTTTTGATCAAATCCATGCCCACTCCCTCCCTTCCAACACCTCCTGTATCTCCCCATCACTTTTTCCTTTTCTTTTTTTTTCTTCTTTCACTTACTTATTTCTGTGGGGATTTTGGCTACTCTAACATTCTCCCCCTCTGAAGAGGTAACCCTAAAATCTTTTAAGGATTAGATACAAGTTCCCAAATACTTTTGACCTCTTTGGCCTTTGGAACAGAATATGATGGTGTGATAAGAATAGGAGGTAGGGATTGGGTAGGCAGTTAGGGTAAAAAGACCCATGTCCGACTTTTTATGTGAGTTCTAGAGATGTAAACTCAGGTCCTCATGCTTGCATGGCAAGTACTTTACTAAGTGAGGCATCTCCCCAGCCCTAGCAGGCAGCCTTATGGGGGCTCTGTCCACAGTTTTCTATAGCAAGGCCCAGCATCACATCCTGCATGGAGAGGTGAGGTCCACACTTGCATCTGGAAATCTGGTTCACACCTGGCATGAGGTACACCCAGTGGTTCCCTTTTCTCACACCTTTTGTTTCCTAGCAGTAACCGTGTGAGTTGTCTGTTTGCTTACCTCCCAAACAGTGGTATAACCTGCTTCTATATACCCTATAAAGTGAGTAATTTAATTCATGACTGGACAGAAGGCTCAGTCTGAAAGAAACTTCAGTTGGAAAGAACTAGTTGCAAAGCTGACCATTTTTTTTCCTGTCCTTCCTTAAGTACCTATGAAGTGCACAGTTCTAACACTGTACCAGGCACTGAGTTACAGCCGTGTCTTGACATGGAGCCTTGATCTCCTGGAGGACACAGTGTCCAAGTAAGACAGCCAATAGCATGTCACTCCAAATGACCATTAGAATGGAGCAGAAAGCCAAACAGGGTACCTGGAGGAGAATAGCAGGAGAGGACTCAGTTGGGCTGCCTGGGCAGAATGGCCTCTCTGAGGAGAGGAGAATAGAGAGGAGTCCTCATTGACGGGCAAGGAAGCGGCTGAGGAGCCTGCCAGGCAGGCAGCCAGGAGTTCCAGACATGGAACTATATTGAGCTGCCATGGGGCCTGAGCATGGTGCAAGTAAACTAGGAAGTGGGGCTGGAGAGGGAGGCAGGGCATCCTGCAGGTTTGCGAGCTGTCATAGGGGATCTCACTCTAGTATTTCTTTCTTTCCTTTGCTTTGTAGGTCAGGGGTTGAGAGTAACACCTAGGAGGGTCAAGCATCTCGGAATTGAAATAGAACTTAAGTGGCTGCCTAGTTCACTGACTGGACAGTCAGGGAGGTGGAGATGCACCCTGTCAGTGCTGGAACAGACTAAGAGCTTCAGGGGTCCCCCTTGCCTAGAAGCTCCTGGAACAGACACGTTGACAGGCCAGTTCTGACATAGGCTTAGAAAGGCTGAAGGGCTGGGCACAAGCATCACTTGTGGTATTCATAGAAATTAGATAACATGGTGTCCTGGACCAAATCTAGAAAGTGAAGAGACAAATGGGTAAGGACTGGAGTAATATGGATATGTAACAGGGACAGAAACGTAACCTATATGTGACCATGTGCATATCTACCTGCTTTGTACACCCCATAGCCCTGCCAGGAAGTATTGTTTTGTATACAAAGAAACCTAGGTAGGCTGCATGTTCAAGGTCATGGACAAGGCAAGACAAATTTTCTGACCACAGAACTAGATAGGCATTGGGTGCGAAAGTGTGTGTGTGTGTGTGTGTGTGTGTGTGTGTGTGTGTGTGTGTGTGCCTGCGTGTCTGTGTCTGTGTGTTTATAGTCATACATTGTGTGTACAGGTGTGTGAGTGAGTGCACATACATGCAGAGGCCAAAGGACACCTTGGCTGTCATTCTTTAGACACCATCCAATTTATTTATTTAGAGACAGGGTCTCTCACTGGCCTGAAGCTGGCTAAGTAGGCTATTCTGACTGGTCAGCAAGCCCCAATATTCATCTGTCTTCACCTCCCCAGTGTTGGAATTACAAGCATGTACCACCACACCTGCCTTTAAAAAATGTGTGTTCTGAGAATCAAACTCAGGCTCTCATGCTTGTAAGGCAGGCACTTTATCAGCTGGGCCATGTCCCCAGCTCTGTGGGCTTTTCATTCACAGTAGAGCTCATGAAAGGAAGAATGGTGAAATAATGAATAGCTAGTAGTTGGTAAACACCTGACCAGGTTACAGTAGAGGAGGGAGGGCAGGGAGAAAGAGGAAGGGCCCCAGTGAAGGAAAGTCTGTTGGAAAGTTGGGGAGGAGGTAGCACTAGGCTTTCCATGAGACCAGAACAGAGAGCTGGAGGAAGTTGGAATGCATGCTTGGGGTTTTTCCTGGTGATACAGGCCCTTGCCAACTCACTGCTTCCTGTGGTATCTTCCAGGCCCAGAGGCTGTTGGGCCCTAAGAGGCCCCGACGGTCCTTCTTCGAGTCCTTCATCCGAACTCTCATCATCGTGTGTGCTTCCCTGGCTGTGGTACTCTCTTCAGTCTCCATCTGCGATGGCCACTGGCTCTTGGCTGAGGACCGTCTCTTTGGTCTGTGGTACTTCTGCACCATTAACAATCACAGTGAACCACACTGCTTGAGAGACCTGATCCAGGCCCACGTGCCTGGACTGGCTGTTGGCATGGGCCTAGCACGCAGTGTGGCCTCTATGGCTGTGGTAGTTGCTATTTTTGGCTTGGAGCTGCTAATGGTGTCCCAGGTGTGTGAGGATGTTCACTCGCGGCGCAAGTGGGCCATTGGTTCTTACCTCCTCCTAGTGGCCTTCATCCTCTCTTCTGGGGGGCTCCTCATCTTTGTGATCCTCCTCAGGAATCAGATCACCCTCATCGGCTTCACCTTGATGTTTTGGTGCGAATTCACTGCCTCCTTCCTTTTCTTCCTCAATGCCGCCAGTGGCCTTCACATTAACAGCCTCACTCAGCCCTGGGACCAACTAAGGAAATTCTAGGGCTTCTCCAGGGACCTCGGCTTCTACAAGAAAGTGTGGTCAAGATGGGAATTCTCTAACATGGGACCTCTGGCTGGACTGGAGTGGGACAATGACCTTGAAGCTGCCTCTTTGCTATGCTAGGTTCTAGAAATGGTCCTGGAGGGTCCCTGCAGCTGTCCTCAGGGCCAGAGACCAAGTGAGTGCCTCAATGCCACCAGCATACCAGCTTGTATAGATTTAGCCACGTCATTATATGTCGAGTCTAAAAGAGGAAACATTTATAAAACTAAAATTTCTTTCTTGGGTATTTTCTTCTCTGAACTGGAATAGATTTGGAAACAGACCAGTAGCAGGTACCTAGAATGGTTGCCCAGCTAAGCACATTTCACACCTGTTTTACTGACTGCACTGGGGAGAGGGCCTCTGGGCCCTTTTTTTTTTTTTTTTTCGTGTGTGTGTGTGTGTGTGTGTGTGTGTGTGTGTGAATATGTATCTGCGCATTCACATATATATGGATGCACATGCGTGTGGATGTGTATGTATGTGTGTGCATGTGCATATGGAGGTCCAAGGTTGATACAGAGAATCTTTACTTACTTTCCACTTTGTATATTGTGGCAGGGCCTCTCAGTCAAACTCAGAGCTAGCCATGAGGGTAGTTTCATCAGCCAACTTGCTCTCAGGATCCCATCTCCTTTCAGGGATGGAATTGCAAGAGAGCTGCCACATCCACCCAGCATTTATGTGGGTTCCTGGGATCTGAACCCTGGTTCTCATGCTTGTATAGCAATTGCTTTAACCACTGAGAAATCTCTTCAGCCCAGCCTCTGTGACTCTTGAAGTTGCTAAGAATGGATCAGCACTTCAGCTAAGGGACCAGTCAGTGCTTAGGACCTTTTCCCATCAGCCCAAAGGGGGATTCACACACATTTTTCTGGCTGTAGCAGGATGTCCTCAGCATGTCTTGCACACAGTAGATTTTCAATCTATTTGACTTGAGTTCTCTCCTGCCCTTTGTGCAGACCCACAAGTCCTGGAAAACCCAACTTCTAGCAGTCGACTATTCTCCCTTCTAGGGACTCCGTGGTTTGAATCCTTCCTCAAACAACTGCTCTGGGAGGACTCATTGATTTCTAACAGTCTTCCCCGAAGCCAGTATGTACACTGACTGTTTAATGTGTCTGTCTTTTCTAAGGGTCAGATGGCCTCAGGGTACCATTTCTTAGCCTGGAACACATTTCAAAGAACACATATTTGTCCTGTTGGACTTCACAGGGGGTGAGGGGGAGAGCCAGACATTGGGTAATAATTAACAGCATGAGGGGACAGGCAGAGGTGAAGGAGATCAAGAACCAGTGGAGATTTCCATCCTTGCTGGAAGATTCTCTCTCTCTCTCTCTCTCTCTCTCTCTCTCTCTCTCTCTGTATATCTGTGTGTCTGTGTGCAGGTGTGCATTCCACTTCACATATGTGGAGGTAAGAGGACCTCACCTTCCACCTTGTTTGAGACAGGGCTGCTTTGTGGTTCACAACGTCCTGTGCCAAGCTACCTGGCTGTGAGCTCCCAAGGGTTCCCTGTCTCCACCCCCTATTTCACTGTAGGAGCATTGGGATTACAGATGTGAACACTACTGCACCCAGCTATATGTGGGTTCTGGGAATCCAAGCTCAGGTGGTCAGGTTTATGTGGCAAGCACTTTTGCCCACTGAGCTGTCTCCCTGATCCCATCTTGTTTTTCAAGACACTCTCTCTGGCCTGGTATTTGCTAAGTAGGCTGACTGGCCAATGAGTTCCAGAGACTTCCCTGTCTCTGTCTCCCTAGTGCTGGGATTATAAATGCATGCCATCATGCCCAACTTTTTTTTACATGGGTTCTGGGGAGCAAACTCAGGTCTACATGCTTGCATGTAGATGACAACTGAGCCATCTCCCCAGTCCCAGGCCTGCATTTTTATTCCTCCTATTGCCCCCCTTTCCAGTGCCTTCCCTGCCTAGAAAGGTAAAAATTCTACTGATTTTATTCTATACTGGTTCCTTCCTCCTCCAGCCACTGAATGAATTTTTGGTCTCTGTCCTACTCTTGCCATAAGGGTTCCTTCCTATGCTAAGTGAGTATACTTATCTTCTGGGGACCAAACCCAGGGCCTTACACACACTAATCAAATACTCCACCACTGAAGCCTCTTATTTTGAGACAGGGTCTCATTGTGTTGGCCAAGCTGGTCTCTAGTGATCCTTCTGGGCTCAAGTGAGCCTCACCCCTCAGCCTTCCCAAGGAGCTAGTACAAGTGTGTACCACCATACCTAGCCTTTCTATGGTGTGTGCATGTATGTGTGTGCATGTATGTGTGTCCATCAGTGTACATACATGTATGTAGAGGCTGGAGGACAACTTTGGATGAGACAACCTTGTTTCTAAGACAGGGTCTCTTACTGGCCTGGAACTCACTCAAAGGGATCATTGGCCAGCCAGCTGCTGGGTCCAGGCTTTTGACGTGGGTGATGGGGATCGAACTCAGGTCCTCATGCTTGTGCTACAAACACTTTACCCACTGAGCCATCTCCCCAGATCCTTCTATGGTGATTTTTAAATATACTTTTTAAAACTTCATTTATTATTATGGTGGCTGCATGTTATGGTGTGCACATGTCATGTGCATGTGTGGACATCAGTGAAAAATTTTGTGGAGTAGGTTCTTTCCTTCTACCTTTACATGAGTTCCAGGGATCAAACTCAGGTCATCAGACACCTTTATCCACTGAGCCATTTTGCCAGTCCTAATTTTTAAACACCTTTTTCTCCTTTTTTTTTTCTTTTGAGAAAGAGTCTTTCTGTAGCTTCAGCTGGCCTGGAACTTACAATGTAGACCAGGCTGGCCTCAGTCTCACAGAGATCCACCTGCTTCTGCCTCCCGGATGCTGCCACAACATCCAGCTCTAAATATCTTTATTCTAGGTGCAGAATCTTGAGGTTACAGATGCTAAAGCTGAACCACCAGCGTACAGGAGGGCATGGGGATCCCCAGAAAGAATTGTTTTGTTGCAATGTTAAGGATCATACCCAGGGTCTTATGTACTTTGGGTGAGTGCTCTCTAACTGAGCCACATCCCCAACTCTGCCTGAGGGGTTTGTGTGGGCTGCTTGGTTTTACAGAGAATAGAGTTCATCAAACACGGCAGTCTGACCTCAGCCTGGGAAAGCAAAATGTAAAGGGGTGACCATGTCTCCAAGTCTGTCTGGAATGCTTCCCTGGTAGGTTTTGCTTTGTAAAAAACAGTTCAGTTATTTAGCCCTCTTTCACGCTTGTATGGAGCCAGGGTGTGTAAATACTCAGGAATGCAGTGCCAGAGTGATGAAGCTTAGAGAGCAGGAAGGTGGGCCTTGTACTTCCCTACCTGAGAGTAAGAAAATCACAGCCAGCCTTAGACTCTGAACATTTAAAGTAACAGACTTTGGGCTAGAGCTGGGCTAGAGCTGAGCTGGTAGAGCGCTTGCCTAGCATGCTACAAAGCTGTGGGTTTGATCCCCAGCACTGCATAAATCATGCATGGTGGTACATGCCTGCAATCCCAGCACTTAGGAGGGGGAAGCAGAAGGACCAGAAGGTAAGGGCCATCACCTGGAGAGTTCCAGGCCAGTCTGGGCCACATGAGAACAAAAACCCATTGGGAGGAAAAAGACCTTAGACTTCTCTGTGTGTAGTCTGGGAAAGATGGGAAGCTGTCTCTCCCATCCATAAAGAGAGAGCACCTTCACTTCCTGTTGTCCCTACTTCCCCCTGTGTTCCTCAAACAATGTCAGAGATGCTTCATGTCCCCTGTGACTTCATCAGCTTAATTTAGCTGATATCCTGAAGGCTTGGTGGGCCTTCACTAGACAGATGAGTTACAGTGGGGGACAACAAGATCTGCCTAAGGTCAAGGGCCTTAATCTCTCATATTTTCTGAATTTCTAAGTTGACCAAAGCTTTCCCCCCCACAGCCACCCCCCAGCAGGAAGGAGTTGGGAAGTGATCTAGAAAATACTACTTCCCCTAGTATTTTTGTATTTTTGTGTAAAAAGATGGACACATACAAAGTTTTTATTTTTTTCATGGGTGACTTTTATTCCCCTGTCCTTTCTGGAGCCCCAGAACTCTCTCTACATAGTCTGGGCAAGATGGGTCACTCAGAAGAGCAAGAGAGGCCAAGTCCCAAGCCTGTGTCCTACCCCATGGAGCCCCAGGTCTTCTCTTGCTTAGTTCTGAGGAAACTCAGATCTGGAGGAAGGGCATATTCAGTCACTGGCAAGCACAAGACAGCTTTTGGGACAATGACTGTCCTACACAATGTCCAGGACTCTGTCAATGGGCAGCCTTGCTGCAGCCTCAGAGATACTGGCCCTCGGTGTGTTCCGGCTCTGCTCAGAGGGGCTGGCCTTGGTGCTGTGCGTGGGACCGCTGGTGGCATTGCTGAAGGAGTTGCTGAGGGTCACAGGGCGCAGTGGGAACTCTTGGAGGTGCCACTGACGCCATTTTTTCTGAACTTCCAGCTGTACCTGCTCAAGATTGGTGATCAGATATAGCAATTGTGGAGGGTGGGAAGACAGCCGGTGCCTGGAGCTTGGCTTACTTTGGGTTCTGCTGCTCCTGTCCAGATGGTCCTGCTATGTCCCCTTGTCTACAGGCCACTCTGATTGACCATTTCCTGCCCCATGTACAGAAGGCATCAAGGGCCCCCTCTACTGTGGGCACCATACCTGACATTTAAATTTTTTAATTATTTTTTTTAACTTATCTGTTTGGTGTTTGGTGTGTGTGTGTGTGTGTGTGTGTGTGTGTGTGTGTGTGTGTGTGTGTGTGTGAACATGCATGCATGTCATACGCATGTGTGTGAAAGTCAGAGCACCACTTGAGGGAGTTGATTCTCTACTACCATGTCAGTTCTAGAATCAAACTGAGGCCATCAGAGTTGGTGGCAAGCACCTTTACCAGCTGAGCCATCCCACTGGCCATGTACCTGCCATCTTCTAACATTGTGTTCCCCAGAGAGGATTTGAGGCTTGTTCCCCAAACCGCAGAATCCAGAGTCCAAATCTGTGTGCTTATTCCCATAAGTCTACTCACCCCAGTCCATAATCTATCAGAATCTTGCTCCTTAGACATTTTCTTCATTGGCCCTGATAGAACACTCGAACCTCTGAATTCAGGTTTGATGCTCGATTTTTGGAAAACATCAGAGGTCATTTCTATTCAAGTGTGTGAACCAAATGGATTGGTTCATAGACATATAGAAACTTGGACTGTGTGCAATATCCTATTTAGCCAGGGTCAATGCCTAGAGCCTTGTATCCTGACCCCTAAAGCTCTGTGCAAGGTTAGGGCAGTTCTGGGTCACCTGTTTCATCTATGGGAGACTGAGTCCACAGCAGCAAGTGACCCAGGTTACCTACAGAGCAAGCAGTAGAGCCATCAGGGAATTGGGCTCTGAGTGGGCTCTTCTGGGTTTGCTGAACTTACCCATGGATAAGAAGCATCCAGACTGTTAAAGATTGCATCCTTGGGCTCCAACCCAGACCTAGAATCTATTTTTGATGACTATATAATAGGGACATTGTCCAGGATGCAATTTAACATACCCCCTTGGTGAGTCTACCATCCTGTTACTGTGAGGCTCAGTCTGCCCGCAAGCACCTTTCCCACCCCTTTCCCACTGCTCTCTCCAGGCAGCTCCTGCACTGGAATCCAGTGGTACCTCAGGACATTCACATCTTCACCCCAAGACACTTACCTCACCATTGAGGAAGCAGTAAAGTACAGCCACCACCAACCCCTGCCAGAGAGAGCTCGGTTAGTGCATGTGTTGGACAACTGGACTTGGCTCATCCCTCCCATCTGTTCCTGCCCAAGTCCTCACAACCCTCTCCTCTCTGTCTCAGGGGTAATTATATGCTCTCGTTCCCTCAGTGCCCTGCTGCCCTGTTAAACACAAACTGAGAATTTTAGCATATGGCCTCCAACACCTGTCACTACCAATGAGAGTCTGATGATTTGGGTCACTGCCTACAGGGATCAAACAGGTCACCAGAATCAGTAGGGAGGGACATCTGGGAGCATCAGAGACTGGTGGCCTCTGAAGCTTTTCCCATACCCCATTGTAAGGAAGCAGGGTCACTCCAGTGGGAGACCTTAGGCTCACGACAAGGAAAACTAACTCTCATTGAAGAATAAATGTGTGCTCAGAATAAATGTTCAAGTACGGGTCTACTAGCAGTTACAGCTCTGTGGTCCCAGTTTTATGTCTCCAGGCTTGGTGAAGTCATGCCTATCTTGGAGTTTCTGGTTTCCTGATGGCATCCACAGGGGCCCCACATGGAGCTGGGCTAGGCTAGGGACATCAGTCTGCCATGCCCAAGTAGGGTCAAACAGGCCTGCAGAGCTATGAGTGATGAGCCTGATAGTTAATATTGATTGTCAACTTGACAGGATCCAGAATCACCTAGAAGAAAAGCCTCTGGGCACGTCTATAAGAGATTTTCTAGACTAGATTAATCAAGGTAGAAAGACTCTCCATAAGTGTAGGCAGCACCATTACATGAGCTGGGGTCCTAAACTGAATAAAAAGGAGAAAGTGAGCTAGCTGAGCATCAGTCTTTATCTTTCTCTGCTTTCTGACTGTGGATCAATGTGACCAGCTGCCTCATGCTCCTGCCACCATGCCTTCCCACCATGATGGACAGTTTCCTCAAACTGTGAGCCCAAATAAACCTTCCTTTGCTTAAGTTGCTGATGTCAGGATATTTTATCAGAGCAACAGGAAAAGTAAACAATACAAGAAGGTGTATTTCTCTCTCAGAGCTCACCTCACTAGCGTGTTTTCCATACAAGCCTGACCCCAGGCTTCCCTGGTGAACTTCTGTGTACAGCTCTAACGTCTAGTCCCACCAGGGCCTGCCCTTAGCTACTTACCACATTGGAAAAGACCCCCTCCCGCAAAGGGCAACAAACTTGCCTGTCTATGGTGGGATTCATACTGCTCAGGAATATTGGTTTTGTGAGTGTGTATGTGTACTCGTGTGTACATGTGGGGAGGGTTCACGTTTCCCTGCATATGCTTGTAGATGTTAACATGGGGTGCCTTCCTCAACTGCTATCTATCTTCTGTTTTGAGACAGGGTCTCTCACTGAACCTGGAGCTCACTGATTTGGCTAGGCTGGCTGACCACTTCATTCCAGAGATATTCCTATCCTTACCCTTTCAGCACTTAGGTTACTGGCACACACCCAGCATTTTACATGGTGCTGGGGGAGCCAAACTCAGGTCCTCATGCTTGCACAGTAAGCACTCCACCCACGCAGTCATCTTCCTTGTCTAGATATTGGCTTTTTTTGGATGGAGGTGGGGAGCTAGAGTCGAACTCAGGGCCTCATGCATGCTAAGTATATGTTCTACCACTGAGATACAACCCCAGAACAATACTGGTGAGTTTTTATTGTTGGTATGTATTTATTTTCTTTTTAAAATTTGTTTTATTTTATGTGTATGAGTCTTTTTGCCTGCATGTATTTAAGTGTACCTGTTCGTGTAATGCCCACAGAGGCCAGAAAAGAGTGTCAGATCTCCTGAAAATGGAGTAACAGATGATTGTGAGTCACTATGTATGTACTAGGAACCAAACTCGGGTCCTCTGTAAGAGCAGCCAGTGCTCTTAACTGCTGAGCCACCTCTCCAAATTGTGTGTGTTTTATTTTTATTTATGTGTTTTGGGTTTTTTTTTTTTTTGGGGTTTTTGAGACAGGGTCTCTCTGTAGCCTCAGCTGGCCTGAAACTTACTATGTAGACCAGGCTGGCCTCAATCTCACAGAGATCTGCCTGCCTCTGCCTTCCAAGTGCTAGGATTAAAGGCATGTGCCACCATGCCTGGCTTAAGTGTATTTTTGTATGTCTGTGTGTATATACCACATGTGTGCAGATGCCCAAGGAGGCCAGAAGAGAGTCAGATGCTGTGGAGTTGGAGTTATAGGTGGCTATGAACTACATGATGTGGGAGTTGGGAACTGAATATGGGTCCTCTTTGGGAAGTGAACTCAGGTCCTTAGGAAGAGCAGCAAGCACTCTTAACCACTGAGACATCTCTCTAGCACCTTTCGTTTTGTTTTTTGAGAGAGGTCTCTCTATGTATCCATGGCTGACCAGGAATGCATTCTGTAAAGCTGGTTGGCTCCAACTTACAACAATCTTCCTGTCTCTGCCTCCCAAGCCCTGGGATTACAAGCATGCGCCTCTCTGCCAAGAGATACTGATGTTTTAATAAGTTAATGGCAAAACTTGAAGGACTTGCTTTAGAATTTCACACATCCAGGAGGGCTCTGCAGAATAAGGGTGTTTTGAACTACAGCAATGCCAATTCTGGGTTGTGGTTTCCAAATTTTTCTGTACATTAGAGCACCTGGGAGCTTTTTCCCGGAGTTGCAGTCTGTACCCCAAATCTGAAGGTCTTGAAGGAAGATATCAACAGCTTTTAAAATTCCTCAAGGTGTCTGGAGTGGCTCCCCCTTTGGGGAAGAGAGAGAAAGGGAGAGAGATTTAAGTGGTCCTTGCAGGTGTTTGGTCCAGAGCTGGTGGTCGGGATGAGGCTGCTTGTCCATCTCCCCAGTGCAGTCTCTGGATCTGGGATCCAAGCACACATTTTCCATAGTTCAAGGGAGGGCAGGATCCCCCGGGCAGGAAGTCAGCTGTGGCTCCCTAAGAGTATTCAGGGCAGGACTCACCCAAACCAGCCAGGTTACTAAATCTTACAGTCAAACATTAAAAATGAAGACTGGGGACTGGGTAGCTCAGTTGGTAGCACGCTTGCCTAGCATGAATGAAGCCCCAGGTTCCATGCCCAGCATCATATAAACCAGGGTTTGTGGTGCATACCTGTAGCCCCAGCACTCAGGAGGTGGAGGCAGGAGGATCACAAGTTCTCTAGGTCACCCTTGACTACACAGTTTGGGGCATAACAGAAAATTAAAATGGGCAAGGTACAAAAGTAAACACATTAGGACCTAATTATACATGTATGTGTGCATGCACATGTGTGTTCCTGGACAGAAGCCATTTCCAAGTAATGAGATTATATATAACTTTTTGTGGGTGTTGGGGATGGAACCCAAGGCCTGTATATGCTAGCCAAACCCTCTATTGCTGAGCTACATCCTAGTCTCTAAATTTTTTTCTCAATTTTCCTTCTTTTCCTATCTACAATAAACAAGTATTACTTATGGTGGTTGTGAGTATTCTTAAGCTCATGTCTATTTTTGATAGTGCCTCGAGGCTGGAGAAATGGCTCAGCAGTTAAGAGCTCTTGTTGGTCTTCCACTGGACCTGAGTTCAATCCCTAGCACCCACATTGGATGGCTCACAACAGCCTGTAACTCCAGCTCCAACTCTGTAGGTACCTGCATATGTATGTGCATACACACACATACACATATATAAATAAAATGAAAATAAACAAAATAAAAATAACAAGGTCTCAGGGCTAGAGAGATGACTCAGCAATTAAGAGCATTGCCTACCCTTACAGAGGACCAGGGTTCTATTCCCAGCACCCACATGGTGGCTAATAACTGTCCATAACCCCAATTCCAAGGGATCTGATGTCCGCTTCTGACCTCCATGGGCATTGCATGACACAGGTGCACTTAACACATGTGCAGGCAATACATTCAAACACATTAAAATTTTTTTTAAATAACAAGGTCTCACTATATTGCCCAGAATAGTAGACCCCCTGTTCATTCTATTCTTTCCCCTTTTGTATATGGAAAATTTTCATATGTATTATTTATCTATGTGTTTTTTTAATTTTATGTGTATGAGCATTATGAATGATTGTTAGCCACCATGTGAGTGCTGGAATTCGAACCCAGGTCTTCTGCAAGAACAGCCAGTGCTTTTAACTGTTGAGCCATCTCTCAAGTCCCCTTATATATGTGTTTATATACATAAGAACATACATACAGTTTTTTTTTTTAGACAGGGTCTTACTATGTATCCCTAGCTGACTTGGAACTCAAAGTGTAGACCAGGTTGGCCTGGAACTTATACCTATCTTCCTGTCTCTGCCTCCTGAGTATGGGGGCTACATGTGTGTACCACCATGCCTACCTATCTCTAATATTTTTAGTGCTCGTTTCAATTCATTTAAGCATGTCTACAGGGACATAAGGAAAGACACCTCTACAGTCTTTGTAGGACTTTCACCAGTTTTTTTTTTTTGTGAGGGACTCGACTGGCTACACACACACACACACACACACACACACACACACACACACATTTTGGCTGTTTGTTTTCTGTTTTATTAGCTTGTTTGTTTTTGAGACAGAGTCTCCCATAGCCCAGGCTAACCTCAAATGTGCTAAGTAATGACCTTGACTCCCAGCTCCACCTCCCAAGTGCTTGGATTATAAAGTGCTTCAGCACGCCAGGTTTATAGTCTTTTCTTCACTGACCCATCATCTACATATTTTTCTCTGCATTTTCTTTCCGAAAAGTGACCTCAAGTTACTTTTAGAAGTTATGAGCAAATAAATAACATTGTCAGGTTTTGAGATTCCTATTAAGTTCCCTCTAAGCCATTTTTGTTATTGTTGCCTTAACTTCATGAGTTCTTAGTGAATTCGTAGATAGGTTGATTTCCCCGCCTCACCCCCCTGTCAGTTTTTGTTTGTCAGTTGATTCTGATTAAAACCCCAGTAGCTAGGGGCTGAGGAGATGGCTCAGTTGAAGTGCTTGCCCAGCACTCATGTAAAAAACTGCAGGATGTGGTGGTACTCACTTGTAACCCCAGCAGCAGGGAGGCAGAGATAGGCAGGTCCCTGGGGTTTGCTGGCCAGCTAACCTACCCTACCCTAGCCTAGCCTAGCCTAGCCTTCCTGTTGAGTTCCAGGACAGGGAGAGATCCTGTCTCAAACTCCCCACTTCCTCTTCCCCCTGGGGGGAAAAAAAAAAACAAAGTGAATGTACCCAAGGAATGTTGTACTCTGGTATCCATGTGCATGTTAGTGCACACATGCTTACTTGCTTATACACAGCACACACACACACACACACACACACACACACACACACACACTCCTCCTGCCTATTTCCTGGTCCCTAGGGGCAATCTGAGTCCAACTTGAACTCTCTTAACTGATTCTAAATAATATGCTGATGCTGCTGGGTTCATATTTCTCAGCTTTGGTTTTTTTTCCCCCATGGACTTCCCAGTTAGAAAGGAGGATATTGTTGTCTTTCAAACATCCAGAGAGTTCATCTGCCTGCCTGTGGGTTCCAGATGACAGCTATGTGTATGCCACAGTTGCATAATACTTCGTGCTGGGGTGGTTTTGCCTGGAGTCAGCTTCTCTCCTTCTCTGTTTGTTTTTACTACTAAGGACGGAGAGCCCCACTCAAGGTCATATGGCACCAGAAGGTTCTCCCACTGTGGTCCTTGGCTCCACTACTGAGGGTGACCTTCAGGCAGCTCTGGCAAGTTGTATCTACAGGCTCATTTCTCTCTAAGGAAATTGAAAGCCGTGTGTGTGTGTGTGTGTGTGTGTGTGTGTGTGTGTGTGTGTGTGTGTATTCATGTATATGTAAGTGTATGTGTGTGAACGGGTGAACACATACAAGTACATATGTGTACATGCTTGCGGAGGTCAGAGGGCTGTTCCTCAGGCACCTTTCACTTTTTATTTAAGACAGGGTCTCTCATTGATCAGGAACTTCTCCAAGTAGGCTAGGCTAGCTGACTAGCGAGCTCCCTTGTCCCTGCCTCCCATCTGGCCATCACTAGGATTATAAGCTTGCATCACCTCACCCAGCTTTTTCTGTGGGTTCTGGGGACTGAACTCAGGTTCTCATACTTAATGGCCAGTGCTTTACTGACTGAGTCATTCTCTAGCCCTGGGAACTCTTTGAAGTCACACCCCCCAAATCTTACCTGGAAGGAGCCCAGGGCCAATTCAAAGAACAGCTGGACCTCCATGGCATCCTCCGGGGAGAAGGCGAAGATTATGTAGTGAATTCCAAAGAGGGGGATCAGCAGGAGGGTGGACCTAGCCAGGCGCCTGGGGGCACAGGGACATGCTGTCACTCCTGCTCTGCCTCCTGTGCCTCCTGTTAACCCAACTCACCTTAGGGCCTGATTACCAAAAGCTTGACTGCAATGTCCCTAAACATTTTTCTCAATTTTTTATTTTTCTGGATCTATCTCTCTATCATCTATCTATCTATCTATCTATCTATCTATCTATCTATCTATCATCTATCTATCATCTATCTTCTATTTATCTGCCTATCATCTATCTACCTATCATCTGTTATCTATTTGTCTATCTATCATTTAACTGTCACTGTCATCTAGGTATGTATCTATCTTCTATATACCTGCCTACCTATCATTTATCTATCCACCTACCTGTTTATCAAATATCTACCTAGGTATAAGTGTGTGTATGTACCTATGTATCTATATATCTATGTATCTATCTATCATCTATCTATCTATCTATCTATCTATCTATCTATCATCATCTATCTAATTTTCAGTGCTAAGGACTGAACCCAGGACCTACCCATGCTAGGTGAGTATTCTGCCAGTGAGCAACATCTTCAGCATGTTTTCATTTATTTTAGAAAACCTCCTAATGCCCAAATACCCATCACCAGACTCAACACTCATCAGCCCACTTGTGACCAAGCTCCCTAAATTTCTAGACATTCATGTCTATCAGCAAACAGATGAATAAATACCCACTAAAATTAGGCGCCTGTTCCATTGCTGCTCTGTGTCTAACAAATGTCTAGCAAAGCTAGCTTCTGCCCTGCCTGCTCCACTCCATTTCATATCAACACCACTCCTTCTCCCCCTCCTAGCCTCACAAGGGTCAGATCTCTGCTTTTAGGCTTCCTGTTTGGGATTTCATAACTTCCTCTCCCCCCAGAGTCGGAGGCTTCATGTTCAGGCCTTGTCCCAGCCCCACCCTATTTATACTAGGTAGGTCCTGGCCAGTCTTTTATTATCCTAGCACTGGTAGAGAGAGCAGCTGGTGCTATTAGTGCTTGCCAACTGCCAGAGCATGCCGAGGTCTTCGCTTTGCTCTTACTTGTAATGGATCATTTCGTTTCCTCTTCTCTCTTGGGTTCTAAGTTTTCTCATCAGGATTCTTAGAATGTTTATAAAAAAGATGAAATTGATCTGGAAAACACAAGGCAGAAGTGGGGCTAGAGGTGTTTTGTTTTCCCAGTTCCTTACCCTGACCCTTAGAGCTGAAGACCAGGGAAGACATCCCGGTCACCACAGCCAGAATGGCACATCGCAGCTCCCCATCCCTGCACCCAGAGTCTTGGTGACACACCCAGCCTGGGGGCCATGGTTGGAAGCAACACCGCCGCTCCCCAAGCTCATGGCTCAAGGTCTACTCAGCTGCCAAGCAGATCACAGATCACTCACACTTTCAGGGGCTTGGAATTCCCTTCAGATTGTGTGTGTGTGTGTTTGTGTGTATGTGTGTATGTGTGTGTGTGTCTGTGTGTGTGTGTGTGTGTGTGTGTGTGTAGGCCAGAAGATATCTTCAAGTGTCCTTCCTCAGGCACTGTCCATCTTCTATTGTGACAGCGTCTCTCACTGGCCCAGAATTCACCAAGTAGACCAAGATGGCTGACCAGCGAACCCCAGAGTTCTACCTGCCTTCGCCTCCCCAGTGCTGGGATTACAAACATGGGCCACCACACCCACCTTATTTTATGTGGCTTCTGGAAATAGAACTCAGGTCTTTATGCTTTCAAGGCAAGCACTTTATCAATGGAGCCATTTCTGTAGCCCTCCCCTACGCATCTTGGTAAGTAGAGGTCTGACTGGGTCTCAGAGTCTGCTTTTCTTTCTTTTTTTTTTTTTTATTATTTTCTTAATGTATTTGTTTTAGGAAGAGCAGCTCTTCACCTAACAGCAATCAGTTACTAATATTTCTTCAGATAAGATTGGGGTCTGCCTTAACAGGGATGACAGAGTATATGGGCTCAAGTGGGGAGGGGGCCTATAGAAGGGTGCTGGTGGGGGCAAGGGTATGAAGATGATTAAAAAAAGTTCTCCAGATGGACGTGGGGGTGCACGCCTTTAATCCCAACACTAGGGAGGCAGAGGCAGGCAGATCTCTGTGAGTTCAAGGCCAGCCTGGTCTACATAGTGAGTTCCAGGACAGCTGGGGCTACAGGGAGACCCTGTCTCAAAAAGACCAAAAAAAAAAAAAAAAGTTCTCCATTTCATTTAAAAATATACTGTTTCTTACAGAAAGACTCATTGTTTTTGCTAATAACACTGAGATGTTGGCACATGCATCTCTAATCTGTATGTATCTATTATTACTAGTCATAATTGGTTGCACTCAGATCCTGGGCACCTGTGTATGTCTATAAAGTCATCGGGTAGATTTCAATGGTAATGTTTATCACCTCTACTAATTAACATGACATAACTTTTTATGCTTCCTCCTCAAATATAATTCGTTTTTTTTTAATTTGTTGATTTTGTGTGTGTATATCACACAGAACATCCCAAACCATCTTATTCAACTGTACACCCACTTCCCATATGGCACCCTCCCATAGCCTCCCTCCCCCGACTAGAGCCCTTGTACTGTATTATCCCTGCTACTGTCTGCTGTGATGTCGGCACCCCCAGCTGTTCCCCACTACTTGTCCATCTGGTGAATCTAGTCAGCCTATCTAGAGGTCTTTGTTTTAGGAGGGTCAGCTGTTCCTCATCTACAGCAATCGGTTGTCAACATTCCTTTAGACAAGGTTGGGGTCTGCTCTTCATTTTCCCAGTTCTATGCTGGGTTACTGTCTGGAACAACTCAAAGGAAGGTGTCTCCTGTCTGGCATTGTTTCTTGTTATGTAGCTTTTAACTATACACATGGACTCTTAAAGAATTATATTGATCCCTTTAATCTTTGGTTATACTTTCCTTTTGATTAAGAACATACAGTTAACCTAAATAAACCAAGTTATTTTCACTCTTAAGGTCATTTGAGGATCTGTTCCTCAGGGGTCACATGGGCTGGGGAGGAGTCCCTGGCTCCTTTTTTTTACCAGTTCCATCTATGTGAAGATAAGTCAAAGGTCCTGCTTGACTGTGGCTGGCTTCACTTGGAAGCATGGAGGAAATTTTTCCTCTGAGTTGACCCTCCTCTTTGTAGACTGGACACTGGTTCAAGTCCATTTGGTGGGGTCTCCATGGCCAACTTGATCAAGAGGACAGGTGACTCACCACAATTATGGGACATTTTGAAAGATGTTCCATAGTCCCCTGGAGCTTAGTCGACCTAGGAGGGCAAGGAGCAAAAACTGTCCTTTATATCCCTCTGACCAGATTAGTATAGGCCTCAAAATATTGTTGTTAGACACCCAAGAAGGTTAATTCCACCAGTCTGGTACTTTTAATTACCATGTGCTATGTAGATAAAGCTTGGGCAAAGACCAAACATTCTCACTAAACATGTATTATATTCCTTGAGTTAGATGTATGTATAATTTGTCAGTAGGTTGTTTGATTAATATGTATCCCTCTGGTTTTTTAAAATTAACTAGGCATTATTTATCTCTCGCATTGTCTAACCCTTCCACCATGGTTTCCCCACTTAAAGTACCCCCATTTTTCCCATTTCGCCCTTAATAAAAGAAGGATTTGATTGGGGAAAATTTGGACATCAGACAAAGGAAGTAAATAGAAGGGATCCTCTTCTGAAACAGTCCCTGTCAGGACCATTAACTCAGAGGTTCTCCAGCCTCCCTTTGATTGACTCTCCAGAGAGCTCATGGAGGAACAAGGAGAGAGGAGAGAAGGAATCAACAGAGAGTGCAGAGAAGGACATGGTGCAGTATCTGGTTTCCATTGTTTTGCTGTTTTTTTTAAATAAATAATTTGTTGTGAATTTCATATATGCATATAAGGTGTTTTGATCAAATCCATGCCCACTCCCTCCCCTCCAACTCCTCCCATATCTCCCCATCACTTTTTTCTGATAACTTCATATACTCTTTCTTATTCTTTGATTTATTTTTTATGGTGCTTTTGGCCACTCTAACCTTCCCCCTCTGAAGAGGTAACCCTAAAATATTTTAATGATTAGTTAAAAGCTCCCAAATATTTTCAACATTTTTGGTCTTTGGAACTGAGTATGTTACTAGAGGCCCAAAGACATTGTGAATTTTAGCCAAGAAACTGGCTACTTTTCTTTGGGGTCTTTTTACCCTAACTGCCTAGTGAATTCCTACCTCCCATTTTCTTTTCTAAAAAATGTTTTATTTATTTATTTTTTATGTGTACGAGTGTATTGCCTGCATGTATGTATTTGCACCTGTATCATGCAATGCCCATGGAGGTCAGAAGAGGGTGTTGAATCCCCTGTAACTAGAGTTATGGATGGTTGTTAACCACCATGTGGGTGCTGGGAATCTAACTCAGGTCCTCTGTAAGATCAGCCAGTGCTCTTAACCACCAAGCCCCTGTTTTTCTTCCTTATTTTATTCATTGCTTTTATTTTATATGTATGTGTGTATCACTTGCCCATATGTAAGTGCACTTGTGTTATGCAATGCCCACGAAGGTCATAAGAGGGGAGTAGATTCTCCGTTGAACTGGAGTTACAGACAGTTGTTAGCTGCCATGCGGTTGCTAGGAATCAAACCCGGGTCATGTGCAGGAGCAGCCAGTCCTCTTAACCACTGAAGCCATCTCTCCAGCCCCTGCTTTTCTTTTTTTGGCAAAAGGTCTCACTATATAGCCAAGAATGGTCTCAAACTCTCAATACTCTTGCCTCCATTTCCTGGGTGATGGAATTACCTCACCATGCTTGGCAAGAACCCCCGCCCCCCCCCACACACACATACAATAAACTTGCCAAATAGGCTAGAGGCTGACTGGCCAGGGAGCCCCATGGAGCCACCTGTCTCGGCTCCTCAGCACTGAGATGCCAAGCATACACCACCATGCCTACTTTGTTTTTGGTTTTATTTTGTTTTGTTTTTAACCTGGGTTCCTGGAATCAAACGCAGGTTCTTGTACTTGCAAGGCAATCACTTTACCAATCGAGTCATCTCCCTAGGTCTCATCTGGGATTGAAAAATAAAGCCTATTTCCCCACCCCTCACCCCCAGACACAGAAAGACCAAATCTCTGCCTAGCAGCATTTTTAAAAGTTCCTAGGTTGGGGGCTGGAGAGATGGCTCAGCGGTTAAGAACACTGAATGTTCTTGCAGAAGACCTGGGTTCAAATCCCAGCACCCACATGGCAGCTAACAACTGTCCATAACTCTAGTTCCAGGGGATCCAACAGCCTCTTCTGTCCTCCTTGGGCATTGCACGACACGGGTGCACTTACCTACGTGCAGGCAATACACACAGTTACATAAAAAATAAAAATAATAAACTATTAAAAATAAATCATTTAAAAAAGTTCCTAGGTTGTTGGTAAAAACAACCAGGAGCGAGATCCTCTTCAGTCATGGTCCCCAAGGATCTATTCCTTGGGCCACCCCAAGGCTGTCCCTAAGAGCAGCAGCCACAGTCTTAAGACCACATCCCCACTTAGCTTTCCCAGATCACACTCTATTTTCTCATGACTTCAGTTTAGCAATACATTTTGGGTGAACAAAAGAACAGCTAGAGTAATGACCAAGACAGGACTGGATGGTGGAATTCTGGGTACTAGTAGCCAACCAAACCAGCTCAGGGGCCCCGCTCTTCACGCTCACAGCTATCCATGGAACTGAGCCTGTTTGTAGTGCTCTCCTGCTCATGCCTCATCCACTCCACCTGGCCACTCCTTAGGGGACCACCCGCTTACCAACCTCTGGGGATGCTGAGGTTTTCTTACCCTCATGGCACCTGTGGTGATCTCAGGCTCCAGGCCCTCTAACCCTGAAGGCTGCTCACTTGTTTCCTGTTTCCCCATTGGCCCCCAGCTCAGGGGAGGATGGCCACTCACCAGGATGGATAGGATCACAGGCCCTCGGATGACCCACCAGATGGAAGCATTGGTATTGATGTCCCAGCATCTATGGGAGTGAGAGACTGTCAGGCATCATTAGGAGTTGGAGGCTGGGCTGACCACTAGGCATGTTCTCTGGGGAAATCCCTGGTAGGAAGGACCATTAGCTGCCATGTGGGTGCTATGGGCCTTAGTCCCCACAGTGCTGTGCCCACCACCATTAGTACCTGTCCCTCTCCTGCCACTCAGCACTAGTTGCCTCTGGACATCTTTGGGAACCTCATAGCCAGGGGGACTCCTGAATTCCAAAGTTAGCTTGTTAGGGTCCTTGAGTGCACCAGGAAACTCAGCTGCCAGCAGAGGCTGGAAAGATGGTATCAGTAACTTAGGTGTCCAGGTGAGATCTCAGGATCCAGGATACCTGGGCTAGGGAACACTTGGCCAAAGCAACCACAGCTCTGATCCAGCTGATTTTTACCATAAGGCAAAATGCTAAATAAAACTTTCCATTTTTTTTCTAGTGAGGATGAAAATCCAGATTCTTAAATAGAAATATAAATAAACTTTATGAGACAGATTCTCTTATAACCCAGGCTGGCTTTCAACCCACTGTGTAGCCAAGGATGACTGGGGGAGTAGTGAACATGCTCCAAAGAACTTCCCTGGGTCCCCCAATCTGAGCAAGAAGTCCTTCCTAGGTATCTATGCTGTTTGAGGGAATGGATGATATCACATATTGTTGTGGTTTGAATGTGAATTGTCTCCAGTTAGCTCATGTGTTTGAAGAACTGGTACCCAGGTGATGGTGCTACTTTAGAAGGACGTGGAGGCTCACTGGAAGAAGTGGGTCACTGAGGGAATGCCTAGAGTTTTATGCCCAACCCCAAGTCCTGTTTACTCTTGACTTCTTGACTAAGGATGCAATGTGACCAGCTGCTTTCTGCCCTGCCTTCCCTACCATGATGGACTGTATCACCTTGAACTGTGAAGCAAAATAAACTCTTCCCTACTCAAGCTGCTTCTTGTCAGGTATCTAGTTATAGCAAACAAGGAAAGTAATTAATATAATAATCATCCCTCAGTATCCATAGGGAATTGATTCCAGAACCTTCGGTGGATGCTAAACCTGGGATGCTCAAGTCCTTTATGTAAAATTGTAGAATATTTGCATATAGCATATGTATAGCCTCACCTATACTTCAAATCATCTCTAGAGGGCTTATACCACCATGTACAATACATATGACATGTAAATATTTGCCACACTGTATTGCTTAGGAAATGGCAGCAAGGAAGAAAGTCTGTACATGTTCAGTACAGATCAATTTTTTAGTTTAATTTGATTGATTTGATTTGACACAGGTTCTAAGATATCCCAGACTGGCCTTGAACTTGCTATGAAGACAAAGACGACCTTGAACTCCTGATCCTCCTGCCTCTACCTCCCAAATGCTGGGATGATAGGTGTGTATAACCACACCCAGTTAGTGCAGTGCTGGGAATCAGACTCAGGACTTCACGCATGCTAGGCTAGCACTCTACTAAATGAACCAGATCTCCAGTCCCTGACTAACATTAAAATTTTTTTCTTTCAGTTTGAAGTTGGTTGATTTCTCAGATGCGAGTGACCAGCTACAGAGGCTGACTGTGTGTGTGTGTTCTTGTTACCTCTCCTAGCAGCTTACCCAGCATCTTCCAGAAAGTGCCTGATGATAGCCCACAAAGCAACAAAAATGGCTGGAGAACCTGAACGTTCCAAACAAAGAGAAGAGTACAGTGATGGTTAGTATTGATTGTCAACTCGACAGGATCTAGAATCACTGAAGAGACAAGTCTGGGCATGTCTTCAAGGGATTATCTAGATTAACTGAGGTAAGAAGGTCCACCCCAAATATGCGCTGTATCACTCCATGAACTGGGGTCCTGGACTCAATAAAAGGAAAAGGTGAGCTGAGCACCAGCATTCACCTCTCTGCTTCCTGACTGTGGATGCAATGTGACCAGCTGCCTCACACTCCTGCTGGCATTCTTTCCCACCATGACAGACTGCACCCTCAAACTGTGAGTGAAAATAAACTCTTCCTCACTTAAGTGGCTTTTGCAGGATACTTTGTCACAACAATGAGGCAGGTAACTAATACAGGTAGGGGAGAGCGGACTCAGGCTTGAACACAGGTACAGGGAAATGGACAGCTACCCTTGTCCAGGTATTTTTGGTAATAAGATTTGATAGCCATCAAAACCCCTTTGCCATCTTGTCTCAGTGTGCATCCACATGCTCCAAGGGTTCTGGTGATGTTCTATGAACTGAAGTAGGGTTAGATGGAATCTGACAGCCACTTGAGGTTAGGGGTCTTCCAGGATCCTAGGCTAGACTCCTCAGGACCTCTGCAGAGAAGAGAGGGACTGGGACCCCTAGTGAGCACATGGAGGTGATTGGGGGAACCCCTTGCTTGGACTGGGATATGCTTGGCAGAGTGGGGTAGGTGTAGGACCCACTGGGTGGAAAATCCATCAACTTTATTAAAATATTGGTTTGTAAAATCCTTGGCCATTGGGGCTAGAGAAATTGTATAGTGGGTAAGAGTTCTTGCTGTGAAAGCATGAGGATCTGTGTTTGAATCCCCAGAACCTGTGGAAAAACTGTCATTGTAGGCCTGTATTACCAGGCCTGGCTAGCCTCTTTTCAGGTATTATATTTTATTTTTTGAATCACAGTCTCATGTAACCCAGGATGGCTTGGAACTCAATATGCAGCTGGAGATAACCTTGAATTTCTGATTCTCCTGTCTCTACTTCTTAAGTGAATGAGTTCCCCTGCCTGGTTTATGTGGCACTAGAGGCACTGGGACTTCATGCATGCTGGACAAGCACTCTACCAACTAAGCTATACCCAGAACCCTGCTAGTTTATTTTCTATGAGATGAAGTCTCATCATGTTGTCAAGTCCAAACTCCTGGGATCAAGTCATCCTCTTGCCACAGCCTCCTTAATGGCCAGGGCTGCAGGTACGTACCATCATGCCCAACCTGCTTAATTTCTGCAAGACGATTCAAATAGACTTGCTCATCTGTGGACTGCATGGTAAGAGCTGAGGCCCTGAGCCTATCAGTTTTGAGTCCTCTACTAACCACATCTCTAACTCCACTCCAGTTCCTTGTCCTCACCCCAATGCATTAAAGGATTCTTTCCTGAAGGACAAAAAGCTTAGTAATAGGGCTCAGCAGGTAAAAGCACTTGCCACTAAGCATGATGGTCTGAATTCAGTTCCTGAGGCTCCCACAAGTTGTCCTCTGACTTCAACATAGACACCATGGTATGTGTGTGGTACCTACATCCACACATACTCTAAATAAATAAATGAATAAATAAATAATAAATAAATAAAACGCATTTTTAAAAAGCGTACAAATAGCTGAGGACTCCACAATATAGTGGTCACTTCTAGGCCAGTCTCCCTGGAGAGACAGAGTCTTCCATCAGCTCTGAGGTGATTCATTCTTAACTATGAACAGATAGCCAAGGTCATAAATGTCTGATTACGTCAAAAACTAAAAACAAAACAATCAGAAAAAGGAACTTGGAGGAAACAGACCATGCAGGGAGCAGAAGTAACTTGAACAAAACAACCTTAGGGGAGATGATCCTAGAGATGGCAAAGATTACAGCAAGGCAGAGCAGGATGTGGCAAACCCCAGTGTTCAGAGAAGAAAGAGGGTGAAGAAACTGAATATGTGATTTCCAAGATAATTCAACAGACAATTTGGGAGATAAAGACTAGTAATCTCCCAGAAAACAGGATAAACAAACCAAACAGTGGAAAGCAGAGCAGGCAGTCAGAAATGAGAGGCTGATTCCAGGATGTCTAATTGTGACTAAAAGGAGTTTCAGCAAAGAGACTAAAAACAGAACAGAAAGAGAGGGTCTAACAGATATCAGAGAAACACTTTCAAGAAACAAGGTCAAGGTCTGGGTGAGATGCTCAGTGGGTAAAGGCACTTGCTGCTAAGCCTGAAGATCTGATTTTGACCTCTAGGATCCACATGATGGAAGGAGAGAACTGACTCTCACAAGTTGCCCTCTGATCTCTTCATGTACACCATGGCACTCTTGCGTACATACCCAAACACACACACACACACACACACACACACACACACACACACACACACACAAAGTAAATAAACACACACATACATAAAGGCATAAATATTCTTTTTAAAATATTTTAAAGAAAGAATGCCAGGAGTTGTGGCACATGTAGAGGCAGCAGATCTCTGTGAGATTGAGGCCAGCCTGGTCTACATGGTGAATTCCAGGTGGGCTGGGGCTAGGGAGACCCTGTCAAAAAATTTTTTTAAAGAAAGAAACAAGGTCATGATTTGGGTATGGTGGCACGCATTGAAATCCCAGCACTGAGAAGACTGAGGTAAGAGGATTGTGTATTCAAGGTCAGCCTGGGCTAAATAGTAAGATCCGATCCTGTCTCAAAGGAAAAAGAACTGAAAGAAAAAGACATGTAGACGTGCACGCAGGCATGCAGACATGCAGATGTGCAGACGTGAAGACATGCAGACATACAGACATAGAGACATGTAGACATGCAGACATGTAGACAGGCAGACATACAGACAAACATGCAGATGTGAAGATGTGGAGATGGAAGGGCCACCAGGTGCCAGTAGGGGTAGGACAAGGAAAAGGAACTGTATCAGAGTACAGTTCTTTTGACATTTTAAAATATAGAATGACCTCTCACTTTTAAATTTATCTTATTATTATTTTTGTGGTGCTAGATCAAACCCAGGGCCTTTAGCAGGCTGGGAAAGTACTGTACCACTTGAGGTACATCCCTAATCCTTGCATTTTAATTTTGTTCTTTTGAGAGAGGGTCTCCTTGTAGCCCCACCTGGCCTGGAACTCACTACATAGATCAGGATGGCCTCAAATTCAGAGATCCTGCTCCCTCTGCCTCCAGAGTCCTGGGATTAAAGGTGTGTGCCACCAAGCCCTGGGCATATATTTTAATTTTTTACTACTCTGAAGAATATTGTTCTGACTAATTGATTTTTAAAATAATTCTGGTAGATAATGCTGGAGAGATGGCACAGAGGGTAAAAAACATGCTGAACAAGTATGTGGACCTGAATTTGGTTCCCCAGCAGTCATATGAAAAGTCAGGCATGGTAGTTTGTTGTAACCCTAGCACAGAGCACGTGGGTTTGGACATAGGCAAATCTTGGGGATTCACTGGCCAGCCAGTCTAACAAATTGGTGAGCTCTGTATTCAGTGAGAGACCCTGTCTCATAAGACGGACAGCAATAGACAAAGGCACCTGACATAGAACTCTGGCCTCCACATGCACCCACACAACATGCACACACACATGCATACATACAAACCTGCATATACACACTGCATACATACACACACACACACACACACACACACAATTTAGGTTGGCAAAACACATAAGTTACAACATGCACACACACATGTATACATACAAACCTGCATATACACACTGCATACATACATACACACACACACACACACACAATTTAGGTTGGCAAAACACATAAGAAATCAGATATTTTCTATTGCATTTGATGCTTTGGAAAATAGAACTGGAGGGTTTCCAGAGATTTGGAAGAGTTAAGATGAAAGCAGTCTTCTTTGCCAGCCTTCCTGCTGGTCTGAATAAGAGACAAGACCTTAGCACATAGGGCTTTAGACAAGCACAAAAGTCAATGGAGGGCATTCCTAGGAGGAACAATTCTTACTTAAAGGCATCAGGGAGAGGAGCTGGAGAGATGGCTTAGTGGTTAAGAGAACTTGTTCTACTTGCAGGGGATCTGGGTTCAATTCCCAGCATGCATATACAGCAGCTCACAACCACCTATAACTCCAGTTCCAGGGGATCTGATGCCCTCTTCTGGCCTCCTCAGGTTCTGCATTCACATGCACAACCCTGCACACACACACTCTTTCTCTCTCACACACACCTTTAAGAAATAAGAACAAAATCTTGAAAAGCATCAGATAAAGCTAATGGCTGGGTACCAGGATCATCTATGTAAGACTCACAGGAACCTGGCTCTGCCTAGAATCCAGGGGGTGACTGACATCTGTGTGAAAAATAATATGCAAATAAAAGACAACAGGAAAAACAGAATGTTAAATAGGAAGTAAAACTATCACTTGACTCAACTGTTCACAGTATTTACATAGCTATGATAATGTGCATATTGAATATACTTTAACCCACAACTGCAAGGATTAACTAACTGACTCAACATTGTTTGAGCATTGAAGAGCAGGGATGGTGGATGAGGAATTGTATATATAGCCTCATCTTCCATCAGAAGTCAACAAATAATACTTCAAGCAGACAGATCAAGAAAGAGTGGTATGTTGTTTAGAAACATGCACATAGGGGCTGGGGAGATGTTCAGTTGGTAAAGTGTATGACTTACAATCTAAGGTCAATCCCTAGAACACATGTAAAAAAGCTGGGTATGGTGACACATGCTTGTACCATAGCACTGGGAAGGTGGCAACAGACAGATCGCTGGAGCTTGCTGGACAGTCATCCTAGCCTACTTGATGAGTTCCTGTTCACCTAGTGGTGAATGACACCTGAGAAACATGCATGCATACAAGTACACACACACACAGAGAGAGAGAGAGAGAGAGAGAGAGACCTAAGAATAAATATTTTTAAAAAAATTTTGTGGTCTTTTTGAGACAGAGTCTCCCTACTCACTATGTAGACTAGGCTGGCCTTGAACTCACAGAGATCCCCTGCCTCTGCCTCCTGAGTATTGGGATTAAAGGAGTGCACCACCATATCAGGTAAGAATAAATATTAAGAGGAACAGCCAACAGATTGAAGGTCAGGGCTTGGGATATAGCTCAATAGTAGAGCACTTATTTAGCATGCACGAGGCCTTGGATCCAGTCTCTAGCACGTTCTTTATCTCCCTACTTTACTACAAATCCTGTATGTGATAGAATTCGTGTTAGTTTTAGTAATCTCTGCTTTTTTTAGTAATCAGTATGCATATTGTTCTGGATAGTTTCAATTAAGTTATACACCTGAGAAGAGGGAACCTCAACTGGGGAATTTCCTCTATCATTTTGGCCTCTGTGGACATCTATAAGGCATTTTCTTGATTGTTGAGTGATATGTGAGGGTCCAGTTTATTGTGGATGGTGCCACCCTTGGGTAGGTGGTCCTGGATTGTATAAGAAAGCAGGCTGAGCACAGGTAAGCAGCTCTCCTCCATGGTCTCTACTTCAGTTACTGCCTCCAGGTTCCCTGAGGTCTTGCCCTGACTTCCCTTGATGTTGGAATGTGACCTGAGAGTTGTAAAATGAAATTAAAGCCTTTCTTCCCTGAGTTGTTTTTGGTCAATATTTTATCACAGCAATAAAGAAGGTAAACTAGAACACACATACACATGCATGCATGCACATTATATATGGAGATAGGGTCTCATGTAGTTCAGGCTGTCCTCGAACTCACTACGTATCTACGAGAATGACCTTGAACTTCTGATCCTGGGATTGCAGGCATACGTACTAGGACTGGTTAATGCAGTCCTGGTGATCGAACCCAGGGTTTTATGAATGCTAGGCAAATACTCTACCAACTGAGTCATATCTCCATCCCTCTTTCCTATTTTTTTGTGATCTCTGAACATAAAGGACTGCTCAAACAATGTTGAGTGAATTAGGATCCTGATCTTAGTGATGAGGACGCTCTTGTCCTGACAGATTGGGGCTTTGAAGCTCAGTGAATTTCAGTCTAAATCTGGAGCTTTGGGCAGAGTCCATAAGGCAAATCTCTGGTCCCCTCTGGGATTGCTGGCCTGTACAGACAACTGCACTGCCCTGCAAGCCCCTGCTGGCTGAGCATCATGTGTTAAACAGGCTGAAGTTCAAGAGCAGGAGGGTGAAGTCTGCTTTGCCAGCCTCCCTGCTGGTCCAATGGAGAAACAAGACTTATGTAGGGATTAAGACAAGCAGAAACAGAGGAGGGCATTCTTGGCAGGGACACTTCTTGATTACAGGCATCAGGGAGAAGCCAGATGAAGCTAATGGCTGAGAACCACTATTATCTCCATTAGCTGATTTACTCACAGGAACCTAACTCTGTCTAGAACCCAGGGGATAACTTACATATATTTTTACCACAGGAACAATGAATGGGTAGATGTGTGGACATATGGATGTATGGGTGGGGAGATATATGGGTGACTGGATGGATAGATGGGTGGATGTGTAGGTGAGTGGGTACATTGGTGCATGAATGGATGGGCAGGTAGGTGGATGGATGAGTGGATGGATTGATGGAAGGATGGATGAATGAATGGGTGCATGGTTGGTAGATGGGTGGGTGGATGGATGGATGGATGGGTGTGCAGTAGACGGATTGGTGAATGGATGGAGGGATGGATGGGTGGTTAGTGGATTGGTTGGTGAATGAATAGATGGGTGGATGGATGGGTGATAGCTGGATTGGTGAATGGATGGATGGGTGGGTGGTAGATGGGTTAGTGAATGGATGGATGGGTGGATGAATGGGTAGAAGATTAATGGATAGATAGATGAAGCTAGAAGTAGAAACCAGATCCTTCTGACTCTCAGCTTAGTGTTCTTTCCTAAACTCCCCAGAGGCTCTACACCATTGAGAGACATACCCCATCCAAGGACCACGAACCCCTGTAGGCACTTCCTTTCTGAGAAGAAGGAGATGACAAGGAGCATGTGAAGGTAGAGGCCTTCCACCAGCAGCCATGCATAGTTTGCCAGGATGCAGTACTGGAAGAAGATCATGACCAGCTTGCAGCCCACCTGGAAGAGAAGAGGGGCAGGTGAGCCTGGTCTAGGTGGCTGTGGGCTTCCCTCCGTTGACTGGTTCCAAAGAAAAAGGTACTACAGTAGGCAGAAGCAAGGCCACAGAGTGAGCCTTGGGGTTTAAGGTTGTCTCCATGGGGCTATAGAGATGGCTCAGTGGGTAAAGTGCTTGCCAGACAAGTATGAGGACCTGAGTTAGATCCCCAGAACCCACAATTTTAAAAAAGCCAGGTATGGTGGCCGTGCTTATAATCCCAACACTGGAGAGACAGAGACAGTAGAAGCCTTGGGGCCAGTCTACTTGACAAGTTCCAGGCCAATGAGAGACCCTGTCTCAAAAGGGGGGGGTACTACATGATACTGCATGATGAACAACACCTGAGGTTGACTTCCAATCTCCACACACATGTGCTCACATATGTGCATTCTCACATTACCCACCTGTATTTGCACACACACACACCCACACACCCAGTAGGAACAAACACACAAGGACTCTCTTGAAGTCTTTCTTGGTTAGGAGGACCAGGCCCACAGTGTTCTCTAGAAACCACAAGTCTCTAAGTCCAGTGGAGTCAGTCCAGATGGTCAAGGAGCTGTCTTGGGAACAGGAAGTTGATTTCAGTTGTGGAACTGGCCCTGAGACTTGGTGAGGAAGACACTCACTTACTCCTTTAGTTGGAAAACCATCAAATATTAACCAACAGCGTCATCTCTCTGATGAGGATACTGCAGCCTAGAGAGGGAAGGAAGTTCTGAGTCAAAGTTAACCAAGCTTTCTTCTTTTTTGTGCATGTGTCTGTGCATATGTGTGTGCATGCATGTGTGTGTCCAGGTGCCTCTGTGTGTGTGTGTGTGTGTGTGTGTGTGTGTGTGTGTGTGTGTGTGTGTGGCCAGAGGATAATCTCAGCTCTTTCTCCTCAGGTACCATCTACTTTGTTTTATTGAGGCAAGGTCTCTCATTAATTAGGAACTTGCCAAGTAGGCTAGGTTGCTGCAGAGCTCCTTCTGTATCTGCCCCACCCCTACCCCCTGGCATTGGGGCTACAAGCATGTAGCACCATGTCTGACTTTTAAACAACAACATTATTATTATTATTATTATTATTATTATTATCATCATCATCATCATCATCATCATCATTTGTGTATATGTGTGTGTATATGTGAGTATATGTGCACATATGTATGTAAGCACCCATAAAGACCAGAAGAGGGCACTGGATCCCCTGAAGCTGGAGTTAAAGGCAATTGTGAGCCACTTGACATGGATGCTGGGGAATGAGCTCAGTTCAAACCCTCTGCAAGAGCAGTAAGCACTCATAACTGCTGAGCCATGTCTCCAGCCCCATACCTGGCTGTTTTCATGTGAGTGAGTTCTGGGGATCAAACTCATGTCCTCACACTTGCAAGGCAAGCACTTTACCTACTAAGCCATCTCCCCAGCCCAATAAAATACATTCCAAGCTCAGTTACTCTTTTTCTTTCTGGAAATACAATAAAAGAATGTTCTAACTGTGTTAGGAGGCAATATTACTCTTGGTCTGGAGACCTCCTCACATCTGGTGGATGCCACCCTTCTCTGGTCATGCCTCCCCAATGCACCTCCACGCCATTTCTCTGGGATTATCAGGCAGAAGACTTACACCAGCACAACTTTTGTCTCCGTGATGTATGGGTCTTCCATCCTGGCCCTGCTGTTCTCTAAAGAGAGAGCAGTTCCTGGGACAGCCCTAGGGGCTGCACATGGCCTGTTGCAGGGCCATGCCCCATCACTGCTACCTGATGTAGGGCCTACCCTGTGGCCTTCCTTACTCCAAGTCCCAGCATGGCCCACCCACTGAGGTTTAGCATTACCTGGGAAGTTTCCCTACTGGGAAGTGGGAAGTTTCCCTACTGGGCATTGTTGGTTTAGGATGGTACATATTTTAAGTCTCCCACTCCAAACCTGGTGTTTTTTCTCTCTCTCCCCCCTCTCTCTCTCTCTCTCTCTC